AAACGCAAAAGAATTGGTCCCTATAGGCCCCCTTTCCTTACTACTCGTCCGATCTAATTCGACCTATTGGGCTCTACACGCTGCTGGATGTTCCAGCTACCATGCTTATTTTCTTAGAGCGTTTAGACGCCTGCAATTCAAGTGTTCTTGCACTTACAACCAAAGGTGTTTCACATGACACTCAACTCAGCTCCATGTACTCAACTCCATATCCAAGAAAGCGTTTTAATCACATAGGTGGCTAATCATTATGATTAGCACCTTCAGCCTCGCCTTGGCCTGCTCCAGCGTGGAGCACCCCTCCTCGCCGACCCGCAGCCACAAAGTGCATGTTCTGCGTAAGCTTGTGCCGGTGCCAGGATGGGCCGCCCGGAGGAGGAGTACCAGCGCACCGCTTCGTTCTGCTTGCGCAGCCTTGCAACAATCGTCCGGACCAGGTGCGTCTTCGGTGCGGGCGGGCAAGCAGCAGGGAGTTGCCGGCCACCAGAAAGAAGTGACAGAGTTGTCCATTTTGTTCCACTTCCGTTGTTTGGGGCGCTCCGCCTTTATGCGCAGCGCCCTGCTGCCAAGAACCTGCGCAAGGCAAGACGCCAGTTATGGCTGTTAGCAAGAGCTCCAAGGTGGCCGAAAGCAGTCCGGCGCATACTGCGGCAAAACTAAGGCGGAACGCAAGAATCCAAGATCTGTCGGAGAAGTAACAAATGCTGCGGCGCTGGTGCAAGGCGCTGGAGCAGAAGTACCAAGGCCAGCGGCTGGCGGGCTGGCGCACAAAATCTTCTTGAAGGTGCCCGGCGCGGCGGAGAGTTAGAAGACTCGCTGGGCAGGACGGCAAGTGCGCTCTGTGCGGCTGCTAGCTGACGGCCGGCGCCTGCAAGCTGGACACGTCGTGCGCAGGCCTTCGCGGACAGTGCCAAACTCTGCAGGCGCTGTGCGGCAACTGCTAAGCAAGAAGACCTAAAAGAGCGCGCAGCCCACAAGCCTGGATTGCCAAGTGGTGCCCGGCGTTATGGAGCAGTGCGTCCGAAGCCCTGCCCCGTCTTGTCTTTAAGGCGCAGGCGTGCCAGAGAGACGCTTTGTTGGTTGGGTGTGGCGCGCTGCAGGCGCAACGGGCTGGCTAACACCCTCTTCCCCCTGCCAATCTTGTGTCCGGCCAACAGCGTTAAATCCGTAAAGGCACTGCCAAACCGGGGCTTAGTGGAAAGTTGCTGCAAAGCAAGGCAGTTCTGCCTTAATTTGTTGCCGTACGTGGCCCGGCTGGCACTGAAGGTCTTGCTGGCTGCGATGCTGGACCTGGGTGTCTGCCGCTAAGACCACATTGTGTCGACGCTGCAACGCGTGCTAAAGCAAATGGACAAGATCTGGTCCAAGGGCAGGAGCGCATGGCCAAACTTAGCGTAAACGCAATGATAAGATGCGCAGCACGGAGGTGGTCTACAGCGTGCGCAGCGCAGCAGCAAGCTGGACGGAACGGATGCAGCCGCTCCGTGCGCTTCGGCAGCCGCTGTGTTAGCGCAGTGCTTAAAGTCCAGAACCGCGTTGTAGATGGGGGCTGTTGCTCAGCAGCCTTCTAGCGAAGACAAAGTTTCACACCGTGCCGGCAGAAACTTGAACAGCTCGCTGCACGTCTGCGGCGTCGAAGCGCCTCCGCTCTCCAACGGGCGGAAGGGTCTGCCTGCCTTGTCTCTGTGCAGCACGCGCCCGTCTGCCGCTCCAGCGCCCACTTTACGTTCGATCCTTTCTTAACGTGGAAAGGCACTAAGTGCTCTCTCTTTAGAGAGGGTTTCCCAAATGGATTCTATTCTACCTGACAGGCTTCTAGCACTCGTCCGTCCAGGAAACGACCTCGTCCTGCGAAGGATTCAAAACCTAAAACGCTGCGTGGAGGCGTGTGGCTGCAAAATAATGATCCCTAGATATGCTTGCAATTTGGCTCCAGGTTGCAAAAAAACAGAAAACAAGGGGTCCCAAAAAAAGGGGTCCCGAAAAAAAAGGAAAAAGGGGTTTCCTTTGGCAAAGCTTGACATCGCTTGAAATGCAACCTGGAGCCAAATTGCTGCGCATATCTAGGGGTCATTATTTTGCAGCCTCCACGCAGCGTTTTAGGTTTCGAATCCTTCGCAGGACGAGGTCGTTTCCTGGACGGACAAGTGCTAGGAGCCTGTCAGGTAGAATAGAATCCATTTGGGAAACCCCCTCTAAAGAGAGAGGCCCGTTGCCTGCGATCACAAGGCAGCCGGGGTTCCTCTGGTTCGTGGTGAAGGACAGCTGCGTCAAGAGGCTCTTCGTCTGCACGAGCGCCTCGTCGTTAATCATGATGAGCTCGCACTGGTGCGCCCAGAGAGAAGAATGGGAACACTCTAGGCTCAGTTTTTTTTGAACCGCCAGTAGCTTTTTTCCCTTCTTTTGTGTCTTAGTAGTCATCTGGTTTCATGGAGCAAAAATTTGAACATTCGGCCTCTTGTCCAAAGCTGCCAAATTGCATTCCAAAGTGGTTCCCGAGTGGTATAATGCTGTTAAATTGCATCCCCCAAGTGGTTTCCAAGTGGTCTTTTGCTGCCAAATTGCTTTTTCAAGTGGTTCCCGAGCATTTCCAAGTGTTAAGTGGTTCAAAGCTGCCAATTGCATTTCCAAGTTCTCGAGTGGTCCAAAGATGCCAAATGCCTAATTGCATTTTAAAGAAGTGGTATCATGCTGCCAAATTGCATTTTCCAAGTGGTTCCCAAGTGGTCTTATGCTGCCGAATATTCCCAAGTGGTTCCCGAGTGGTTCAAAGCTGCCAAGTTGCATTCCCAAGTGGTTTCCGAGTAGTCCGAAGCTGCCAAATTGCATGTCCAAGTGAAGCTGTCAAATTGCATTTTTTTCCGAGTGGTCTGAAGCTGCCAAATTGCATTTCGAAGTGGTTCCCGAGTGGTTCAAAGCCCCACTATCGTGCGCGTGGCGAACCGTGACTTCTGGAGCGCCTTGCCCGTGTTGCACGAGATCCCGATGGAATTCGTTGCTGCCACAGTAAGGGCATTAGCCGTGTCCGAGCTGTGCTGGGACCGGGGTTGCTGAAAAGGCAACTAAGCCAACCGCTCCTTCTTTGGTTGCGCTTTCCTTGTGTCCTGCGGTTACACACAGTTCTTTGGTCTTGGCAGCTTTGGCTGCGTTCACCCAGGCAGTCTTGTCCTTTGTTCTGTGACTTGGGGCGCGCCGCTCCAAACAAGGCAAACGGGTTGAGCTCTTGCGTGCGTTTGCCAAGAGAGCAAATCGCGGTGGCGCATGCGAAATGATGGCGTAATGAGCGTGTCTTCGGGTGCGTCTGGCCCGTTTTCAACCAAGGCCAAACTCGGTCTTGATCGCTTGGCTTACGATAAGACCGGCTCTGTGCCAGAGCGTGGAAGGCTGCGGGACGTCGGCGCGCAGCCGCAGCTCGGGGCGCAAGGCATCAGCGGGAAGAGCTGTGGCAGGGACCTGTGCCCGGCAGGCTGTCGAGCCTCAGGTGGGTGTAGTCCACTGGATGACTGGTGCGTGAGTCATGAAGTCATTTTCTTTGAGCGATCCATTTTATATCGGGACCCGGTTTCCGGGAAGCCGATCAATTTTGATTTTGCGCGCAAGAGCACAATGGTCTAGCGGAAGTGGGACTGCTTCAAGTGAGTCAAATGAAGCGCTCCGTTGCAACTGAGCCGCATGTGTTGCGTTGTGCGTTGAGCGCAGGATTTTTTCTTCTGAGTTTAAGAGGAATGTCAATTCGAGTGCCGAGATTCGCGCATGATGTCCAGCAAGCCGGTTTCCGGAACCTTGCTGTCGTCGTGTCACCCTAGAGCACATTGGCTGATAACCTGTAATGCATCTGGCCAAGGCTGCCCATGGCAGTCGAGTGGGCGATGTGCAAATGCGCCACTTATGCATGAAGTTAGGATGTCTTGTGGGGTGTCAACGAACCTCCACCATCAATCGCGACTGCTGCATTATCCTAGGTAAGAAGCATAGCTGACCGGGAAAAGCCAGCTGGGCGCCATTGGGGTTGAGAAAATGCATCCGGGACGAGGGATTGCTCGTTCGCAGATTTCCCCAAAATTGGTCACACAACCCCCAAAGTCGGTGATAGTCGGTGGCTGATTTTGCGCAAAAAATTGCGTGCGTCCTTTCACTTGGCTTCCAGCATCGGTGGCTGTGTCCTCCTCCGGCCTTGTCTTTCTTCAATCCTTTCATTAACTTTTATTTGCCTCCCAACCACAGGTTGATTCTTGCGTCGGTCTCTTCGTTCGCTGGGCTCTTTGCGTGTCTTTTCACGCGTCTCCCACCAGGTTAATTCTTTCAGATTTGTCTTCCAGCTCATGCCTTTACAAGTGTGTCTCGTCTGCCCATTTATTTCTTTGTTCGCTGTGGCCGCTGTGGCGTTATTATTGCGCGCGGTTTCGGGGGCACAGCTTGCTGTTCAAGAAGGATTGGTGGAAAATAGATCCTCTGATTTCTAAGGAGTGCAACTTTTTAGAACAGACTGTTTGGGGTTTACGCCGGTGAAATTTTGTGATCCAACCCATGCCCAGTCCCTTCCATGCCAAGTTGCTTTGTCATGCTATTGCATTGCTTCATGCAACTTGTGGTTTGCATGCTTCTCTCTTCTGTGTCGCGTTCTTGCGGCTTGACGAGATTGTCCTCACGCGGTTTGTCATTGACTGAGGTTGATGGCCTTCAAAAACCCCAAAGCTGTGGCATGACGGCTAGCTTCGGGTCGCCTCCCTCACTTTGGGCGTTGCTATGCGTCATTTGTGGTTGAAGTAGTACTGCCTGCGTGGTGGTTGTTCCAGCAAAGCTGTTTATCATGTGCTCAAGGGTTAGCGGGAGATGTCCAAGCCTGGGCACGTGCTTCGGTGCTGTTGTTCACTCAAACCCTTTGAGAGCATGTTCATCACTTCAACAATCAGCCACACCATAGAAACAATAGTTTGTACCAAGAGGCAATGTGTTGCAGTACTGCCATGTATTCAGGCAATGTGTGGGACATACCCTCGGAGAAAGTTCGTTAGGCGTCCCCCATCATGAGGCGACCTGCCCAAAGACGGCAAGGCCTGTGCAAAGTGATGAAGACCTGCGCGCTGGTCTTGGCGATGCTTTTCATTGACAGTGCGCACGAGCATTTGACCTTTGTCGGCGGCGGATGCAATCCATTCCAGCCCCCCACGAGATTCGACGCAAGACTTCCGACTAGATTGAAAGCGCAAGTCCGCAATGCAAGTCCCCAAAAGCGTCGGATACTGCCACCGCTGGGCGACTCGGCAGATGTGCAGAAGCATGTTTTCATTTCCCTGACAGACTACGACAAGACAATTGACAAGTTGTTTGAAGGAGACGATGTCGTTTTCATCCGCGGCGGAGTAGCCACCAAGACAACACTGGCGGAGCATTTGGCACGTGAGTTTCCCGAGAAGTACGTCAATGTTCCCCCTCCCCCCCAAACTGATGAATGCTCCGAACAGGCCTGGAAATCGAGCGCAGTTGAAGCTATCGAGGAGCGCACGAAAACGACAGTTGAAAGAAACAGTTTAGAGTTTGGCAATGCCCTGAAGATAGCAAAAGCAAACGATCTGACCTTGATTTATGACGAAGCCCACACAGTGTTCGCATCCGCGACATTGTGCTTTAACCTCTTCAAGAGCAACAAACAGTATCGAACAAAGGTGTTGCTATTCTCAGCTTCAGGGGACGCTTCCACTGCACCCGGCCCTGGTGTGTCCACAACCGCTGAAATCACCCAGAAGTACATGTGGATACCTCCCTTGAGCTACACGCAAGAGCTGGAGACTCAGCTTGAGGAAGCCGGTGTTAGGCTGGACCAGAAGAGCATCCAGTTCTTTATGCGATTTTGCGGTGGACATCGTGGCATCTTCATCGCAGCAATGCACTGGGTGCAGAGCAGGCAGAGCAAGCAGAGCAAGCAGAGAAGTGGTAAAGGCTGGGATTTCCGGCAGACAGTGGGGTTTGTGCGGAATAGCTACAATGGAGGAGATTGGGATTGCGCAAGCAATGCGATTTTGGGATACCTGCAGAAGAGCCGTGCAGTTAGGGTCAATGGCTTCTACGAAGATGTGAGCAACGTGCCGAGAGAGTTTGTAGAGCTTTTGTGCAAGGGCTCAACAACATTGCCACACCATATCCGGAGAGAGCTTACCATCTACGGTTTCGTGCTTCCTATTTACAGTGGTACAGAGGGAGAGTTCCAACAGTTGGATTGGAGGAGTGAGGGCACAGAATACCGAGCGGCAAACCCTTTGCTTGCCTCGTATTACTTCCACAATTTGAAGAAGAGGCGCAGTTTGCAAGTTCAATTTGAGCGCGGCAAACCCCAACACTGTGCAGACCTATTGATGCGCGCATTGCCCTACCTGCTCTTCTCCCAGGTTGTGAGCTTCGAAGGAAACACATCTGAGTTGGCGAAGGATGGTCTTCCGGGTGAGGAGCAGTACAACCAGGCAATTTGCACGGTCTTGAAAGATATGGGATTTCAGCCCGTTTCCACAAAGCGATCTCGGAAGGGTGAAGGAAATCCAGACATTGCACTTGAAATTGGTGGGGAGCGTTTTGTTTTGGAGGGCGTGAAACTGAATGGAAACATCACCGAGCACCTTAGCAAGACCAACTACAAGAACGCCAAACACAAGGCTCTTTACATCATCGGCAATGACAGTGAAAGGATGCTCGACAAGGTGAAGAAGACTACAGCTGATGATGTTCAAGTCATAGGCTTAGTCCCCAACATCGCCCACACCGGATACACCGTCCACGTGAAGAGCAAGGGCATCAAAAGCACCAACAAGTTCACAGTGGACTGTGACCTGGTGGCGCGACGGTTGGTGCTCAAAGACGATGGCAAGCCTGAGCTCCACAGTGTGCAGTCGCTGAAGAGCATCAACCTGCCTCCAAAAGCTGAGACCAGACCCTTGCACTGGTTTTGCACTGCTTTTTTGTCGGTCTGGTGTTTTGTCCGTTTTTTGAGGGGATATGCCAGTTTTTTCATTCAGTTCATGGGTTGTCAGTTGCAAGAGCCAAGGTCAGCCTGCGAAGACAGAGATGGTCTGGGTGCGAGAGTTGAAGGAGGAGAACGGCGAGTACAAGCTGGTGGGCAACGCCCTGCCAATCGAGCCTATGCCGGTGAACATCGGCTTCCTGAAGAAGGTCATCAAGGAGGAGGAACAATTGACACCTGCAGCTTCAAAGCTCCGGATTTTCCACCTGACTGAAGGCATGTGGCAGGAGGAGGAGAAGATGAGAGCTGCGTTGCGCCCTTCCACGGAAGAGACGCCTTACGGCTACCTCGTACCATAGCAATATGGTTTCTTGCACTTTGCACTTCAAGTTTCAAGTTTCACTCAGAACAGCGCGTTTCGATACACATTCGCAGGGGTGGTTGGCAGACGATGCTTTTGCTTGAGCATGAGCATGGCAAGAGCAGAACAATTGATGTTGTAAGACCAGTCCAACCCCACTCGGATTGAAGCAGTCAAGTTTCACCCAGCACAGCCAGCACAGAGTTCTGTGAACTCTTTTTCTGCAAGATGGATGAAGTGGACTCCGAATTTTGCACGTCAACAATACAGAGTTTGCAGACACAGATACGCTATGAAGAAGAGGTGGCAAAAAGAGAAATCAAGATGAACATAGATGAATGTTTTGCGTCAATACAGTGTGAATGTCAAGAGTTTTACTTGGAAACATATTGTTGAGTCCATCATGTTTTTTTGGAATTAGAAAATACAGTTCCGGAGCAATATTGGATTTGCGTTTTGAAACAATTGAGCGGTTTGGAGTAGCGCCTCATCGAGCTGCAAACACCATCCAGTTTATGTCCGAACAAACCAGCTTATGTCCGAACAACTCAGCGGATGTCCGAACCAGTCAGCTTATGTCCGAACCAGTCAGCGGATGTCCGAACCAGTCAGCTTATGTCCGAACCAATCAGCTTATGTCCGAGCCAGTCAGCCCGACGCCCGGCACGGCCTCTCTGAGTGCCCGGCAGGATGCGCCCCACCAGACGCAGCAAGGAGCGCAGGAAGACCGGGTCTCGTCTCAAGAAACAGCGCTGCAGGTTTGCGACGGGCTCGGAAAACCCCCTCTAAAGAGAGAGTGCAGCGCACCACGTCCACGCCGACCAGCAAAGCGTCTCTCTGGCGGGACGCTGCGCACGCCTGCGCCTCACGTGCTGCTCCATGACGCCGGGCGCCAGGCTGGTGGGCTGCGCGCTCTCTCTCAGCGTCTTCTCGCTGTGGCAGTCGCCGCGCAGCGCCTGCAGAGTTTGCACGCTGCCCGCAAAGGCCTGCCGCGCCGGCGCAACGTGGTCCAGCTCGCAGGTGCCGGCCGTCAGCCCGCAGCCACACAGGGCGCACTTGCCGTCCTGCGCGGCCAGGGTCTTCTGCCTCTCCGCCGCGCCGGGCACCTCTCGTTTCGCTTTCAGCAGCTTCAAGAAGATCTCGTGCGCCAGCCCGGCCAGCCGCTGGCCCCGGACTCCTGCCCCAGCGCCTTGCACCACCATGGCCACCTTGGGGCTCTCGCCGACGGCCATGAGCTGGCGCCGCGCCTCGCGCAGGTCCTCGCACCAGAACAGCCCCGGCTGCACGAAAGCGCCTCCACTCGCCGATGGGCGGCAGGGTCTGCCTCGCCTCGCCCCGGTAGAGCACGCGCGCCGCCTACCGCTCCAGCACCCGCTTCACGCAGTGCCCGTCGAAGGCCAAAAAACACACGGTGCGGTGCTTCAGCGCCGGGTCGTAGCTGTCCACAAGGTCGCCCTGCGAGCTCAGCACGCGCATCGGCGCGTTGCGCCACACGCAGAACTCGCCTCCAGTCGTGGCGCAGCATGGCGTCGAAGTCGGCGCGCGCCTTCTCCACGCTCAGCTGCAGCAGCTTGGCCAGCTGCTCGGGGCACGCACAGCGGCTTGTCCTCGAAGGCGCTCGGCAGCACGTCCTGGAAGCTCACACTTCTCAGGCCCCTCGTGCGCTGGCGCAGGAGCGTCTCCACCTCCGTCCTGGAGTTCCTGTACTGCGTGCTCTGGGTGCTGACCACCCAGTGCGTCAAGGAAGTAGGTCTCGTCCAAGAGCTGCAGGATCGGGGCGGCAGGGTTGCCCAGCGAGGCCTCCACCTGCTGCCTGACCCGCTGCGCCACCTGCTCCTCCGTGAGGTGGGCCGGGTGCCTCGTCATGGCCCCAGTCTCTGCGCTCGACGCCTCGGCGCTGCGCCGCCTGCCCCGGGTGATCACCGGCACGTGGACCAGAAGGGTCTGCCTGTTGGGTTTTTTGTCTGGCTGTTTTTCTGTGGGGTGAAAAAGGACAATCTTAAAAAAATAACAAATGCATCAAAGTAAACACAGCCTATGCGTTTTGTTTTTGACCTTTGATTTAACGCATGGAACACATGGTATTTGTGAATTATAATCGTTTGTTTTGCTGCACTCAACTGTGGATACAAACATTTGTGTTTTTATGTATAAATGTGTAATGTATGTATCATCTGTATAGGAACCAATTTTGTACATATTACAAACTAACTTAAAATTTGAATAGTGTGCATGGCGGCTACATTGCACAAAAACTGATGTACTGGGGGAAGTGTTGAAGTTGACCATTGCAAGACATATCAGCACATGCCTTGCAAAGCTCATCACAAACCCACTGAGGATGCCTTTGGGGGTGACCATGGGGTGGCTGCTTCAAGGGGATTCATGATCACTTTTGGGGGTTGGCTTGGCACTATGTCTGTCAGAAGGGGTCGAGGACAGCAACTGCTGGCCAGGGCCTGGGGCATGCTGCTGAGGTGGTCAAACTAGGGCACCGAAAGGTGCTTAGCACCGACAGGTGCAATAATAAAATGCGCCCTGAGACGCTTCTGCTTGTGGTTTGGTGGATGTCTCAATCTTCGATTGGCTGTCTTGTTATTGCTGAGACAGGTCTGAGACACGTTTGAGACACTTCTGTTCGACGTTTAGTGGGTGTCTCAGGTGTCTCAGGTGTCTCACCCCCTTTTCCCAGGATTGTCTCAGCTGTCCCAACCCTTCGGCTGGCTGTACGTCGGTGCACGGCTGGGCGGCGGCCGAGGCTTGCGTGGACGCAAGCGGGCCGAGCATTTTGAAGTCCTCTTTGAGTGGAGGCCTGGGGGATAGTTGTCCTGTTTGAGCGAGAGGTGCAATCAGAGCTTGGCAAGTTTGATATGACGCTGTCCGCAGAATCAATTCGACACACTCGAGACAATTCGAACTCCCGTAGTCCATTGATATCCCGAGAGTATCATGGAACATCTGAACGTGAACATGGAGGGAGAGATCGTGGAGGGAGAGATCGTGGAGGGAGAGATTGTGGAGGGAGAGATCGTGGAGGGAGAGATTGCGGAGGCCATGGAGGGAGGGGCCGTGGAGGCCGTGGGGGATGCGATCGGGGAGGCCGAGGAGGAGAGGCGCAGGCTGGAGCAAGGCCCACAACGAGGCCGCGAGGAACCTTGTGTTGCAAGGAGTGGCCGAGGCGCCTGTCCAGTTGGGAGACCACCTCATGGAGGACGTGGACAAGGTGAGCCGCAGATTCTCTTTGACCACGTGAACGAGGAGGCTCTGGGAGAGCTGGCCACGCGGGAGGTATCCAAGGTGTTCCCTTTGAGCAACGGCTCCGGCCCCACGCTGTTGCGTGCCGCAGGGGATCTCCTGGTGCAGTGCGGCCGGAACAGGCTTCCGTGCGGGGCACGCGCCTACAAGACTGTCTACTTCGAGGAGTCTCTCATGGTGGATCTCAAGAAGAAGGGGAGGCGGCGCACGGACGGGGATCAGTTGAAGGCGCTCCGCTTGAAGAACCCAGGAGTGGCCAGCGGGCGCATGGCGGCTTCCACCTTCATGCTGCCGAGATGGTTGAGAGACGTGGCCAGAGCCGGGCTGCGCAACCACTACACGTTCGACCTGGAGAACTGCCACCCCACACTTATCGCGGCCCGACACGATTCCGCATTTTTGAAGAATTTCGCGGCAGAGCGGGACGCCGTGCTGGCAAAGACGCACCCCGACCGGACTGCAGCGAAGGAGCTGTACCTGAGGCTCCTCTACGGTGGCAGCATCGAGAATTGGGTGACGGCGCACGAGATGACGACCTTTCCGATGATGGACTACGCGCTCGAGTTTCAGAGGACGGTGAGAGCTCTGGTTGCCGAGGACTGCTCGAAGAACCGCGACGTACTGAAACAGCTGAGAAACGAGACGGGAGCTCATTGACAGGGTTGTGAACGTGGTCCATAGGTTGGACGGGAACGTGCTCGCCTACGAGCACGACGGTCTCTTCTTGGAGTTCGAGGGCGATTTGGGCCTGCTGCGCAACGAGATCAAGTTTGTGCTGGGAGAGTTCCCCCAAGACTCAAACAACAAAGTTAAACTCGGTGCTTTTCAAAAAACCAAGTATAACTTAGTCTCACGCTTTGCCGTTTCCATTTTTTTGCGCGCCACGCAGAATTTGCACCCGAGCGCGGCGTGTGCAATTGCCGGAATCAGATGGAATTAGCCAATACTGGCGCGGAGACGCTGCGGCAAAGCCAGTCCTAGTTTTCACGGATCGCCTGCGAATGCAGGTGTTGCAAACGCGCAGGCCAGGGCTCGGGTTCATGCTTGTTTTCCCTGCGCTTTGGGTCGTACGTTTGCGGGCCGTCGAAGTGCCCTGACGATCGTACGCGCACGGCCATCTTACGCGCTATACATATGTACAAGATTGCTATGAGTTTTCGGCAACTTACTTGGTTGAGCGCATGAATACAGCAGTGTCGCCTTTCAAAACTATATTTGAGTTCTTGCGACCGCCGCGAGCAATACAAAAACAACAAGCAATCGCCAGCGACGCTCAGCAGGCACGTTCCTGTGAGCGTGTTTGTGTTTTGCTTGCTGCGCCAGTGGACCTTGCGTGTTGTCATTTTCTGAGTTTCAAAATGAAAGCCGCCAGTTCACAGCTCAGCCGCCGTTGATTCATTGGCGTGCTTTGCAGACACAAAGTATGGTTGATTGCAACGCGGCCCTGGCAGCTAGCGCACGGTTGGCTCAAACTTTGGGAAGAGTGCCCCGTAGAAACAGCAAGGGCTAAATATGGCTAACGCGAAGCTTTTTGATTTCTACCAAAACTTGGAGGCGCCAACTCGCTATAAACTGTTGTTTGTGTCTGCGAAACCCTTTTGCAAAAAACGTGCTCTTTGGCAAAAGTTTCTTGAAACAACCAAGGGCCCGCCCAAACTCACCTGGCCCATATGACTAAACAATGACTTTGGGAAGTGCTTGGGCAAAGCTGGCGTAGTTTCGGCAGAGCACTCTGGAAGGCGCAGCGGGCGCCAGACAACCCACGGTTTGCTCGGCTGAAACCTTTGGCTGAAACTTTTAGATCGAAATAGTTTGTGGCTTTAAACAAAACGAGAACGCCAGTTTCCAAATTTGCGTGGGCGAAGTCTTTTGGTTTTGAAATAGCATTTGGCAGGAAATTCTGAAAATTGTAAGGAGCACTACTTCCCAAGTATACAGAAACTTCTGGAAGGGGTGGGGACGAAACCTTCCGGCTCGACTTGGTTTTCGGCAGGAACTTCTGGAAGGCCCGGGGCGGGGAAGGAGGTCCCAGCTATAAACTGCAGCTCACGCGC